ATGAAAGCCCTGGGGTGTTTCCCCTGGGTACTTGGTGTCTCTTTTCAGATATCACTATTTTTGAAGCCAAAACTGGGTTTGAAGAGCAGATTCTATGAATTTATGAAGGGCTGGAGCTAATAAGCTCCATGTTCCTGGGTGCCCGTTGTAGGAGCAGCTAACTTACCCAAACTAGCAATTTAAGTTGAAGAGAGGGAGAACACAGAGAAAGGAGAAATAGGGGTTTCTTTAGTGCATAAATTGAGAATTGCTTCAGGCACCTTGCAGGTATTGTGCTGGCTTCATAAATTCTCATTTGTATTGTTAATACAAATTACAGCTTTACAAGCAGAAGCGTGCAAATGTGAAATTCCCAGTAAAAAGTATTAACTCATCTAAAGCTGTTACCTCAAGTAGGAAATAGAAAATTCGTTGATAATGCTGGTGGAAAACTGACTAAAAATGAAGACAAATGAAGTTAACACCTGGGTTTAGTTTGTGAGGTTTAGTTTGCACTTTCTCAATTATTGTGTTTATGTAAAGACAATACTGGATGTTTTTGTAGCGAAGACTTACCATCTGAAAAACAAAGTGTGCAAATAATGCTCAGAATATGGAAAGGCCGTTTCTGAAGAACTTTGTGCAAGTCTTAATACTTTGAAAAAACAAGCACATGCTCAAGAGTTGTAACCATCCTGTGCAATTACAGCTGAGTAATACACTTCATTGTTTGTTGTGTTCTTCTAATTGCTGAAACCTCGGGTGTGAAACTCAAGTCATAGCATAGTCATCACAGACGTAACTTATTAAAATTCATGTGATTAATACTAACTGTACAGATCATCTACTTCGACTATACAGTACCCAAGTATGTGTTTATTACATTTTTCATCACAGTCATTTTATTCCATCCTGTACATTGTACAACTGTATCGTATCATGGTTGCTGAGTGTGTTATTGAACAAGAATTTTTTTGAAGAGGAAAGCTGTAAGACTTGAATATGAAATATTAATATTAATCTTCATGTGTTCACACTATAAGAATACTGTAAACTCAAATCATTGAAGCTATTTTCATTGTTGTGATGTTGATCTTTAAAAAAAGTTCTTTGTGTTTAACTTCAGTGATATTAAGTCATTACAGTGACTGAGTAATTTTATGGCATTTTTTAAACTAAGGAAATGAATACAGTGTGTACAGAATAGATTTAATATATTGAAGGCATGTTGCAAATATAGCTGCAATCCTGTATTTCCATCATTATTCTTGTATCTAACCCCTAAAGTTTTTTTTATTGTGTTAGTTTAAAACACTAGACAAAATGTGAGTAAATCATGGTAATTACTGGAGAGAACAGAGTTGATCTAACCCAGTTTTAATTGTATATAATTTAAATATTGATGTCATTAAGTTACACAGTTGCATATTCTTATTGCTGCACATACACTTTTCTAAGAAAGAGGCTCAGGGGATTCATTCTGGAATTTCATAATTCATTCTGCAAAGCTTGTGCAGTTAACTACATTTGCCTTACCTGCATTTCACTTACATTTAAAGTTAAAGGAGTTAAAATGTTCTGCAGCAGCTCTTTTCTATGTTAACAATGATCTTTTTTTGGTATGTTTAATCAGCAAGTTTATATATTGTTGCATATTTTAAAATGTTGATTCAGTGGGATGGTTATAGATTGCTTTGTCTACAAAATGTTAGTAGTGTAGCACAAGGAACGGCTGTTCTTTGGTGAATGAATGAAACTGGTTTTTGGTTGTCTGCAAGGCTAGCATACATAAAAGGGCTTAGTTACGTGTAAGGGAAGGATTTTGTGTATGTATTGCCATATATTCCTTTGTAATTTGAATTTAATTCAGGTAATTCTGTCCAGTTTTCTATCTCTCTCAAGCTATACTTACTTGGCTAATTTAAGAACTGCAGTTTGAGGAATGCCTGGTTTGGGGCAGTACAGATGGGTTTATTTCTGTGCAAATGTGACTGTTCATTGAGGTTAATTATCCATAAGGTCCTGACTTATGAAGCTACTAGAATAGCTGTTAACTATGAATAATTTAGTATAGCATCATATTGCATGCCACTTAAGAAGGTCTCTGCCTGTGAATCCTTATATCTTTCTGCAATCCACTCAATAGTATGAAGGTTACTGCTTGCATTGATAATTTATTGTAGTCTTTTAATTCTATTTTAAGATTTGTCAGTGTACAAAGGCAATGTGAATATTTTATAGTCTTAAGAAATCAAAGTACCTGTGTAAGAGTAGGTATAGTTTGTTTTTGAAAAGCTGAGGTATTAAGCTAGTCTTCAGTGTTAAATTGTCTTTTAAATTTACTTTAAGTCTTGGACCGGCATAATGCATTTTCTCCACTGAGATTCATGATGCATTTTCTCCACTGAGATTCATGTAGTTGAGACAATTCAATTAGGATGTTCTTTTAGGCAGTACTTCATAATGGGGAAAGGAGAGAGGCTTAATGAAAGACTTGCTAGCAAGAGTACAAGATTTCAGTGCCTTCTACAAATTGCTTTAGTTGCTCATACATCTGGCTAGAGCAGACTGTGTCTCGTATTACAGTGGCTTTTTCAGGAGAAAAACTACAAATATAGAACTTTGAAGCAGTTCCAAGTGCAGATAAATTTACTGTATGACTTGAGGAGACTTGATCATTCTAACTTAGCACTGGATGTGTTTTTTAAGAATACTAAAATAATAGTGTTTTGTCAGTATTATAAACTATTTTTTTTTTCACAAAGACACTCCAGAACATTAAGGAAGAGCTTCATGGAGAAATACGTTGCTTTGGAAATGTCAAGGGAAGAACATAAGAATATAAACATGCAACAGAAGTAGTAGAGAAAAATTTTCTTTGAGGCTTTTGGGGGAGAGAGACTGATGCTTTATGATATTTAAGGAAGGTCTGTCAGATGTCTGGAAAGGCTTTTTCCTTTATCTCTCTTCCAGATTTCCATTAGTACTCCCATTCTCTATCTCAACTAGTAAGTTTTTCTAGTATAAGAAAGAAGGGAATCCCCCCACTAGGAGAACCTGGAAGACAGATTTTCAGTCCTTGTGGAGCATTTTTAGAAAGGGTTCTGTTGGTCTGTTTTCACCCCTTTTAAAATTTGCAGTGGAAGCATGTTATCCTCCTTGTCTTGCTGCGTGGTCGGATAGAAAGGGAGGGAGGCAAGTGAACACCAGGAATGGTACCCAAAGGACAGAGTTTTGGCCAGAATATGTCTTTGTTAGTTGTTATGGGCCCATTCATTAGGATGCTATATTATAGCTGTACATACTTTAACTTGTCCTACAAAACAGTTCTAAAGACACTTCCAACCTTGTTTAGAAAGTAGAACTTTTACAAATTAGATTTACTGTGATATATATGATGCTGTTAGAAGCTGACACCGTGACGTACAGTCATCCCTTGGTGCCTGCTTCAGTAATAGAAGGATAAAATAGGCCTTTTATCTTTTTGTGCTCCTTCACAGGGTAGTAAGTAATTTAGGTGTCCCTTAAGGCTTGGTAGTTAAATGCTAAGATCTTGCTAGATGTGTTTAGTTCTCCATAAAAGCAAGGATTCAGATTGGTCCCTTTGAACAGGCACTCTTTGAGCATTATGGAGATGTTTTAGTAAACTCTCAAACCTCTAATAGTTCTGCAGTTTACTACTGACTCAACTGATACTTTGATGGAAATGCAGCTTTGTTTGCAGATGGAAAGAACTCATATTGTTCAGCCCTGGTGTAAAATTTTTAAGTATGTTTATTTTCAAATTAGGTGCTTAAAATTCAACTGAAAATTAGTGGGATTTTCCTTACTTCTGAACTTTTTGATCTATGTTTTAATTGTGTGCTCTCTGCAAATACTTTTAATGCTGAAATAAACTTACTAGGCAGCCATGAAAAGTTGAATTGTCAGTTTTCCTGATTCAAGTGATAAAAGATGTCTGCGTTCTATGCATAGTATGTGCTCCTGCTTTTCTGGTGTGCTTGTATTCGTCAAATTCTGATTTGTCTGAAATCCAGTTATTTCAGTTACTATAAATCATTAATGATATATTGTTTCTGTGGGTAGCTGTTGCTGGGCTTGTCTGAATCATAAAGGCAGGTTGGAAAAAAAAGTGCACCTCCTGTTGCTGGGGGCCTAGAATCAAGGCAGTGGAACACAGAGAGGGCACAGAATATCCCCCCTGCACCCATTACCTTTTTCACCACGGCCTGTGACACGCTGTGGTTAAACCTCGCTGAGCATGACGTGCCTTTGCAGACATCTCACAAGATGTTCTGCCTGTCCCTTGAGAAGGGGAAGCCTCTTGGAGGTGGGCACAGGCAGCTTTTGTGAGCTCCCTCAGCTGTGGCTATGCACCACTTTTCAGGCTTTCAGTCCTGGCCTAAGCTCACCATGCAGCCAAGCTATTTTTTCTGAGGGTTGTCATATTGTTGGTAGTTGCTGATCTATGAAACAGTTCTTTGAGATCATTTGTTTCTCTTTTCTTGCCCTGCCTGGGCTGTCATGGTGGTTGTGGACTGCAGCCCCCAGGACAGTAGGAGTGCTGTGGGGACTAGATGCAGAAGATGATCTGCTCCCTGCAGTCACTGAGGATAGTAGGTAGGAGGGCAGAGGAGGTGTAAGGTTCTACATTTGTTGTCTTGACACCTGTGAGGAAGTGCTCCTCTGAATGTGTGCACTGTGGCTGCAATGGTTACAGCAATAAAAAGGAAGAAGGGCCTGACAGACTTTTTTTTTTTAAAAAAAGGACAATGTTATTGATGCTGTGTGCAAGAACAACCTATCCTTCAAACCTAGAGGTGTGGGAAGAAACAAACTATGAAATTACATTCCATCTTCTATTAGGTGTTTAAAATAAACTTTTCTTTGTTGCTGTTGAAATGTGTCAGTTTAAAGTGTTGCAGTTAAAAAATACTATTTAGCTGGTTGAGTGTTGTTACAAACCGTATCGAAACAACCAGAACTTTATTAAAGCCTTATCTTTATTGTTCCTTATTTAGCTTTTATCAAGTGGCAATTTTATGCAATGGCATCAAGCCACAGTTCTTCACCAGTGCCTCAGTCAAACAGCAGTGATGCTTTCTTTAAAAAGGAAATGGATGCTATGAAACGCTTTCGACCTGTGCAGTCACTGCCTGATGTGTGTCCCAAGGAACCTACAGGTAATGTTGGTGTGCAAGGAGGGTGAAAATGCAGTTAACTTTACTAACCCGTTTACAATTATTCAGTCAAATTCCAGTTGTAATGTACTAAGCTGTAGTCCTATTTCAAAGTATGCTGTAATTCTGCTTTATACCACCCAGTGTCCCTTTGGAGCAATGGGAGACCCTTCCTGTTTGCAGCTTGGTTTTGGATGGGATCTGGCTTGCGTGTTTCCACATTATAGCTGTGATCCATACTATGTACAAGAAGAGGGTATATTCTATCAGAGCTTGTAACAGACCTGTCCAGCATGCTTGGAATCTAGCTGCAGTACTTCTGTGAAACACCCCAGCCCTAATGCAGTAGGAAACAGGAGACCAAGACCTGTCTCTAGCACTATCATAAGTATACTATAAGTCTCTAGTGCTATCATAAACCCAGGTTTTGGTCACAGTTTATATCTGCTGTGGTATCTGAAAGCTTAATTTATAAAAAGGAGTAGGTGGGGTGGGATCTTAAAAATGATGAAATACGACTGTCATTCTGATTGAGTACAGATCATTAAAAATATGTTTGTGGTTGGTATTTTTTTCTCTTCAGTAGAAGCTAATGTTGTTGATCTAAATATATTTAATGAGTGTAAATATACCACTGTGTTCAAAGCTTGTGTTGGTTAATCTGATGGAAGAAACCCAAGTTAAAGAGTGGCAGGAGGAGAATGTCATGTGTATTTTGCATAGACAATTCTGATCCACTATGTTAGTGTGAAAACATTGTTTGCTTGAGATCCACATTTTAGCAAAAATACACTTTTCAGTTTCTCACCTTAACAGACTGTCTTGTCTTTTGTGCCGCAGGTGATCCCATTAGCTTATGTGACAGCCCATCTCTAGTTGTGGATCAGCACAGATGGACTATTTATCATTCCAAAGTCAATCTCCCAGCAGCACTAAATGATCCTAGGTTAGCAAAAAGGGAATCTGATTTCTTTACAAAAACATGGGGAGTGGACTTTGTGGACACTGAAGTCACGCCTTCATTCTACCTCCCACAGATCACCAAGGAACATTTTGCATTATACCAACAGGAAATCACTCCGGTAAGAACCCAGAATTAGATGCATGTAGTACTAGGAGCCAGAAACTGATTTGAGATCCTTCTTCTAATTAGAGATGGTCTCTGTTAGTAGTCCATCATACAGTTAGCTGATAATTTGTTTGTCTTAGTGCTTGTTGACTCTTCACTAGGCATTTCTTGTTTTATAGTCTCGTTATTTGTAGTGTGGAAAATGCTGTCTAAATTCTCTCTAGGCAATTTCATAAATTTTTTTTCATTTGTATTTCTGAATACTGAGCTCTGCACCAGGATTTACAATTCATATTTATTCTTTCTGATTATTAATCCTTTTTCTGTAAGGATTGTTTAACTGTTGGGCTCTACAATGCAACATAGCATTTTCAGACCTTTGTATAAAACATGACTGTGTGCTGCAAGAATTGGAGATATTTTTTAAGAGTCTCTAGTTTAAACATTTATACATGAAGTTCTTAAACTATAAAATAGGCCTATTGTCTCAATGATTTCTTTTGTAACAGGAAAGTTTAAGCTACATCTAAGGACACCAGGACCAGTAGGAGACTTCTACAAACTCTTAAAATACAGGTGTCAGTAAGTATGTAGTATTCTTTTTTTTTTTTTTTTTTTTTTTTTAACTGGAAGAACATGTAGAAGTCTCCCACTGTTCTCTGCTTCCTTGGTTTGTAACTTTATTTGTTTGCTGGTATAGAATTGGCTGCAGGAACTGTTACTCCTGTAAATCATAGTTAAAGTATGTGAAAGTGAATTGTCTGTAACTGAACTATTGCTATTAGTTTAAGAGCTCATCCGTTAAGATTAGCATGTAATGAAGTGGCAGCTAAATGAAAGAAGATTTTTGGGGAGAGGGAACTGACCTGTGATGTAGCTTCTATCGGAGATCTAGTTAACATTGGTAGTATTTAGAAATGTAATTTATCACTGCTGTGGTCTCTGGTGTTGTTTACACCTGTAGATAAAATTTGAAGCTCAGCATGATGAAACAAGATATCTGGTTTCAGCACAATACTCGTTAGCAAGATGTGGAAGCAATTTCTACTTTGATCTGGTTTAATTTAGCAATGTAAAAGCATTCATTGTGTTAGTGTGATTTCTAGATTATACAGCAAATAAATGTTTGGGTATGTAATTACAGTTGATCTATGGTTATATCATTATGTAGGGAAATTATTATGCCTCTTCCATAACTTTGTGTTCATTTTCTCTTGAGACGTAAAGATACAGGAAAAAAAACAACATACTGACTACAGGTTGAAATTTTTGGTACCTTTCACATGGACAAACATCATCTGAGCTTTTAAGAGGAAAAAAAATACTATTGTGATCTTGTCAGAATTATTTGGTGTAATGGTTGTGTTTTACTGAAATGTTCTGAATGTTCTATTTCAAAGAAATTATTTTTTTAAGCCTCAAAATAATTTAATATATTTTCTCTTTTACAGAGAGAGAAGGTTCATGAAAGATGCAAGAATATTTGTAGTCCTAAAGATACCTTCGACAGGACTCTATTACACACCCATGGTACAGTCAAAGCCTTCCTTTAGTTGTTAAAAAGTTATTTTGTATCAGTATGTTATAACATTCAATAATGAATGCTATAACATACTGATGGTCTCCTTTACTTGTTGGAGAGCTTCATGAACAATAATAGCCGCTGCTGATTTATTTGTAACAGTAATTGAAAACCCAGACACAGCTGACTAGAAGTATTCATGACCACTGCTGATAATTTGTAAGTTAAATGCTTGTGATAAAAGCTCTTAATTTTTTTCCTTGGCATATTTGCATTCAAGGCAGGTCATTATGTCCCTGGCAGTGTTTTCTTTAACTTCCTTTTATTTAAGACCTGTTGAAACTGTTGCCTCAAATTTATAGCAGCTGTTGACTTTGCAGTGAAGAATGGCAGTGCTGGGCTGTTCTTCTCTCTGCCATGAGGATCTCAGAATGGTTGAGGTGGGAAGTGACATTCAAGATGGCTTAGTCCAAACCACCTGCTCAAGCAGGGTCACCTGTGGGAGGATAGTGTCCAGCTGGGTTTTGAATTTATCCCTGAATGGAAATTACACAACCTCTCTGGGCAGCCTGTTTCAGTGTTTGACCCCCGTCACAGTAAAAGTGTTTCCTTATGTTCAGATGGAATTTTTCATGTATGAGTTTCTGCCTATGGCCTCTTGTCCTGTCACTGGGCACCACTGAGAAGAGCCTGCTCTGTCTTTTTTACATCAGATATTTAAAAACATTGATAAGATGGATCCTGAGCTTTTCCAGGTTAACAGTCTTTTAGTGCTCTCAGCTTCCCTTCTTATGAAAAATGCCCTGATATCTTTATCATCTTTGTGGTCCTTCACTGGACTCGATCTAGTACGTCTAGATCTGTCTTGTACTGGGAAGCTCAGAACTGGGTGCACTGCTCCAGATGTATCTGTAGTGCTGAGTCAAAAGGAAGGATCACCTCCTCAACCTGCTGGCAGTGCTTTGCCTAATGCAACCAAGGGTGCTTTGCCACAGGAGTGCATTGCTGGCTTATGGTCAGTTTGTTATCTGTCAGCACCCGAGATCCATCTCTGCAGGGGGGCTTTCTAGCTGCTAGTCTAGCAAGTAATGGTGCTTGGGTTTCTTCCTCTCCAAGTGCAGGATGTTTCCTTTTCCTGTGTTGAACTTAAGTTCCACTCTGGCCAGTTCTCTGCTTAGTATTTCTCTGTTAGCAAAGACTACCTGGCAAACTCTTTTTTGGGGTCTGCAGCTGTAGCAAGGCTAAATGTCAAGATTTTATGGAAAAACTTCAGCTAATATGAAACTGGACAGAGGAAGGCAAGAGACAAAATGTAGAAGAAAAGACAAGCAAAAGGAAAAGACACTCATAGCCTGGAGCAAGCTTTTAGCATTGAATTTATTTTAATTTATCTTCTCAAAAATATTAGCATAAAAGGGTTTATTTGCCAGTCACTGTTTGGTCAGGCTTGTCTATATCAATGTCTACAGCAAGAAGCATTCAGTAGTTTACTCCTTTTGATCAGATTCTTTCAGTCAGCTTTCCTCCTCCTTTTCCATGCAAAAGGAAGCCCTTCTCTGTAGTGTATCTCTGTGATTGATGTTATTTTGGAATAGCTCTTCCTGCATGAGTCTGTGGCACATACTGCAAAATAAAAGTTCCTTCTTCAGGCTTAGCTTAATCCATTTTGAAAGAGTCTCGTTTTTAAAAGGAGAAAACTGTGTCACCAAAGTAACTGGGAGCTTCTTGGGTAGATGGACAGTTCCTAGTAGAAGTATCATTTGGTAAACTGAAACTTTTTATTTTTCTATTGTTTCTTCTGTTAGCGTTGCCCGTCTAACTCCAGCCCACAAGACTTGGCCTTTCACTTCCATAAAAATTGGTCTGTCCAAAGACTTAAGACAGTAGGATGATTCCTTTTGTAGTACAAATAAAGAAACAAATCAAGTAGGAACCAAAGAGGTGAGAGAAATGTGGGAGATAATGCTGATATAGCGCTTACTATGTTTGTCAGGGATGAGTAGACTGTCCAGCTGAGGTATGGGCCTGTTGCTTTTAAGTTACTCTCCTTTTTGGGCTTCCAATGTGCCCCCTCTTCATAATGTAAACTAAATCAGCAGGGGAGGAAGAGGGGATTTTGACTGAACCTCAATAGTCTGAAGTTGAGTGCACCCTCAGTAATTTTGCAGATGACACCAAGTTGGGCGGGAGTGTTGATCTGCTCAAGGGTAGGGAGGCTCTGCAGAGAGACCTGGACAGGCTGGAGCCATGGGCTGAGCCCAACTGGGGGAGTTTCAATAAGGCCAAATGCCGGGGGCTGCCCTTGGGCCACAACAACCCCCAGCAGCGCTACAGGCCTGGGGAGGAGTGGCTGGAGAGCTGCCGGTCAGAGAGGGACCTGGGGGTATTGATTGACAGCCGGCTGAACAGGAGCCAGCAGTGTGCCCAGGTGGCCAAGAAGGCCAATGGCATCCTGGCTTGTCAGCAATAGCGTGGCCAGCAGGGACAGGGAAGGGATCTTACCCCCATACTTGGCACTGGTGAGGCCGCACCTCGATAACTGGGGTCAGTTTTGGGCCCCTTGCTACAAAAAGGACATTGAATGACTCGAGCGTGTCCAGAGGAGGGCAATGAAGCTGGTGCAGGGTCTGGAGCACTTGTGTGAGAACAGCTGAGGGAACTGGGGGGGTTTAGTCTGGAGAAGAGGAGGCTGAGGGGAGACCTCATCCACCTCTACAACTGCCTGAAAGGAGGTTGCAGAGAGCTGGGGATGAGTCTCTTGAACCATGGAACAAGCGATAGGGCAAGAGGGAATGGCCTCAAGCTACACCAGGGAAGGTTTAGACTGGATATTAGGAAGCATTTCTTTCCAGAAGGGGGTGTTGGGCATTGGAATGGGCTGCCCAGGGAGGTGGTGGAGTCCCCATCCCTGGAGGGGTTGAAGAGTCACATTGACCCAGCACTGATGGATATGATGGAGTTGAGAACAGTCAGTGTGAGGTTAATGGTTGGACTAGATGATCTTCAAGGTCTTTTCCAACCTAGATGATTCTGTGAATTTGCCTTTCACTCAAGTTCTGCTGGGGAACAATGATGAACCTCTTTACCCAGCTCAATTCTCTCACCCTCTGCAATTGTCAGGTCAGCTTAATTCAAGGGAAGGGCTGCTTCTGTGCTACTTGCTTAGTGTCCTGAACCCTTGTCCATCCTTCTTGCCAGCCTTTGTTCATCCATCCTCCAAGTGCTGTGCAGAAGTGGTTATATGGGCAGCTTCAAATTGGAGCATCAAAATTGGGGTGATGTTAGAGGGACCTTTAACTGGCCCTTGGACATTGATTGAACAGTGCATTAAGGACTGTGAAGTGCTGAATAGATTGCTTTGTGTGACAATGTTTTCACTGTCAAAGCAGCCAAGTGCAAACACCTTTAAATACTCTGATCATGAAACCTAAACTACAAAGGACAACAGTCTTTGAAAGAATCAGAATATTTCAGTTTGGAAGAGACTTTGGAAGGTCTTTAATGCAACTGCCATCTCAAAGCCAGTTCAGATGTGAGGTCAGGCCAAGCTGTTCAGCGCTTTATCCAGTCGAGCCATGAAAACCTCCAAGGATGGAGAATATCTAGCCCCTCCAGGCTGTCTGCTCCAGTGCTTGATTGTCCTCACGGTGAAAAAGGTGTTCCTCATGTTCAGTCAGAATGTTTTGTTTCTGTTTATAACCACTGTTCCCTTTCTGCCCACCCTGCCCACCTCCTGTGAGGAACCAGGCATCGTTGTCTTGAAAACTTCCTCACAGGGTTTCATAGTGTTCAAGGTAATTGTTTTCCATTGTTTGCTCATGAATGACTACTTGTATTTTGTTTAATTTTAGATAAATCCAGGACAGATCTGGAACAAGTACCTAAGGTATGGTTCCTGTGCACTCTAAGCATTTAGAAGGTTTTCTCACATGTAGTCTTGAATATATGAATGTGCTCTCTTCTTTGTAGAATTTTTGTCCAGGCTGATTACTTGAGCTGATTCTCAAGAGGATCTGCAGTGCTCAGAATTTAAAAAGACTTTAGAACAATCTGTTTTTTTCTTTCTTGTTGTTGTTGTTTCCCATGAGTTGATTTTTTTTTTTTCCTTACTTAAAGTAGAATATAATGCCTTTCTTTTTCATCTTTAGTAGTTAAAACCTCAGAGCTTGGAAAAATTAGCCACTCTGTGTTCTAGGAGGAAGAGGAAACTGAAGAGTTTGATAGAAACGAAACTTGAATATTGCTTAGTGTACAACTTAGCATTAGGTTTAACTCCTTGAATCCTTGAGCAAAGCCCTTTTGCATATATGCTTGCAGTGTATATGATGTGGGGGTTTTGTGAAAGATTGACAAAAGAAACTAGTCCAGATTCCATTTCATCCTGAATAATCTTCTAGGTAGATTAAGAAGTCAGAGTGTTAATATGGTCAGCATTTCTGTACAAGTCTTGTAGGCTGTTACCTGAATAGCTGTCACTGCAGTGTTTAAAGTCCAGGAAACAAGAATGTTTGAGTGTGGTGTGATGCTGTAGTCTATGTTGAAACTTTTAAAATTACACTTCATGAATGCAGGGAAGAGGGTACTACTGTCTATCTGGAAGCTCAAGGTTTGTACCAGTTTTGTCAAATAAAAATAACATTATCAGAGAGATTTTTAGATTATCTACACATCTCTGAGAACTATTAATGTTACATGTTATTGTGACCAGTGTGTTTGCTGCATTGTGCTAAAGTAGATGAGCTTGAGGCTCTGTTCCCTCCAAGGCAACACTTGCCACACCCTGACAGCTGGCTGGATGCTCCATATGGTAGAAGCCATGGCCCCAGAAATGAGCAGATCAGCAGTAGGATGCTCCTGCTATTGAAGAAAGTTTGCTCTGATCCTTTAGAGGACCCACCTGCAGATCAATGCTGCCTACATTTTCACACTCAGGATGTTTAGATCATCTTGGGTACTTGATAACCTATGCAATTTTGGAGCTGTGCCTTCTACTTTTAAGAATATTAGGCTTTATCAAATCACATAAGCTTTTAAGGTGTAAAGTAAATTGATTATAAGGTCTGGAATGAATTTGTTTGCCTGGATAAATGAAAATTTGGTTTTTGAAAAATCAACAGATAAAGTTCCTTCTAGCTTCATGAGATGGGAGATGTGTTTAACTGGGGAGGAAAATGTAGGGGTGAGGGAGGCGCATTTATTTCCTTTGTTTTTCTGTTTCAGATTTTTATGAAACCAGATTTTGCCTTGGAAGATTCCTTAACATTTAATGCCGTTTTACCATGGTCTCATTTTAGTACTGCTGGTGGAAAAGGAAATCGTGATGCAGCTTCCTCCAAGTTACTTCAAGAAAAGGTACAACTTTGATACAAGATGTGGTTATCCATCGCAGCTGTTAGATACTACAAAGAAACTCCATTGATGCTGTTCTATGCTCTGTGTTGAGACATCACTCTTGTGGGCTTTGTTATCTCTCATTGTACTTCAGGCTGCAGATTGTTAGTAAACAATGCAAGAAGCATTTTACTGAAAGAACTTTTTTCCTCTGCTAAATAAATCTGGAAAAAAGAGTATGTATATGGCATAATTGGCTCTTCATGACTGCTAAAATGTAGTGAAGAAGGTATATATTGAAAATTTTGGAGATGTGGAGCTGTTTGTTAGGGAGGAAGAACAGTTCCATGAGAAGGGGAAGTTAGAGACTGTATGCTTTTTAAGACTATTTCTTTCTTACATCTCAGGAAAACTCCAGATTCGAGGCACTGTGGTTTCTGTGAAATACTAAACTCAATGGTTTTTGTATGTCAGGAGCTTCCTCTTACCTTTTGTTGTCATGTCATCTGCACTGACCCATTTTTGCATTTCACAAAGGACTTGAGTGCATTGGAGAGCTTGAAAGCAGACCTGTTTCATATTGGAAACAAATCTTTACTTGTTTTGGTTTTTTTCTTATGTATATAGTTGTCCTGTAGAAAATCCCATAATGAATCATTTTATAGTACAAATACCAATAAAATGCTTACAGAAGATCTACATCATTTTGGAGTCTGTTTTCTAACTTTAATTTTCCCTCCTGTTTTAACCTACTAAAGCTTCTGGGAGCTAGAGGCAGGGAAGTAGTGAGGTACCTTAAGAAAAAATAATGAGATCTTCTGGAAGATGTTTCCAGATTTCCAGGAGTTAGTCTTCCTGCTCTCTCACCAGGTCAGGGTGAAGAGACAGGCTCTGCTGGAAGCTAACTTGATTCTTCACTGGGTTCTCCTCCACATGTAAAAGTTGGAGGAATACTTCTTTGGAGTTTCTTGTGACAGTTGCTGTCTGAAGATGAAAAAGCAGTGCTTGGCATGTGCTTTAAAGTCACAAAGTGTGCCTGGCAGCAGTAGGATGGTCGCTCGATGTGGACTTTGAGCAAAGGAGACCCAGAGCCCTCTCTGATGCAGTGGAGTGAGAATAAGATTTTTCAATAGCCGTGAGCCACGCTTCTCTGGAGAGGTGATAAAAATACTGAAATAGTATAAACCAGTTCTGTTGCCTCCAAAGCCACATGCCTGACAAACAAGTTATTACACTTCTTCATATTACTGAAATGGGCCCAAATTTTTTCTTTTACTTTTTGAAGACTCTGAACTGCACGAGGTTTACACTTACCATGTGTAAATAGACCCCCTACTGCCATAATTATCCTTAACTCTGGGGGCCATTTTCAACACGATTTTGAAAACCCTGCCTTAGGCACACATACTTAGGCCATTAGTGCTTTCTGACTGCTGCTGATATACTTGAACAGTTTCCCCCTGGCACTTTTCCTTACCTTCTTTCAAGTCTTGCCCTACATTAGGACTGTACGCACTTTGAGGCAGATACTATCATTCTGTTCTGTTCGTTCTGTCTTGCTTAGAATAGTGAAGGGACCCGGGGCATCTAGTTTGGTGAATCACATAAATAAATGATCATAATAACCCTTTCTGTGATCCCTGTGTCACAGTCTTTCTCAGCTTTTCTCATGGGCTAGGTGTGTCACAGGTGGTTGGTGGCAGGTGTTTTTGATTAAACATATTACAAAAAAGATGGGTTTGCATATAGTATAAATCCCCAGTGTTAAATACATGCAGGATGAAAAAAACTATAAGAAGGAAACATTCTCCAGCTGAGTTTCCTTCCCTGTCTGGATGGGCCTTTTGAAATTCAGCATGAGGTTTGGGAGCTTGGTACCTATAGAAACCAGGTCATCTGAGTATTAGCATTCAGATGAGCATCCTAATGCCTCAGTCCTTTGAGTTTGCATATTCAGCATAAACCAGAACACAGAGCTTTTATAGCTCAAAGAATCAGGCCAACTCAGTCGTCTGATAATTTGACATAAAAAATTAGAATTTCAGGTTCTAAACATGTAGACATACTCCGTCTTTAGGAATCCCATGGTGCCAGCACACGTGAAATACACTTAATAGCAACTCCAACTGGTTGGCAGAAAGCAACTGCGGCCAGAGATATCCTGAGGATTTTTCTACAAAGAAGGTGCTACAGCCTTTTAAATAAACAGAGCCATTCCAAAGCCATGTCCTCAAGTACAGTCCAGCTGCATCTTTAGCAGCTTCAGTGACCTGAAGTACATAGCCTGTTTCCATGTGTATATTGTTCTTACTTGCAAGCCAGTATCCAGAGCTGTCTCCTGGTTAATGGCCATATTCTAACAGTGTCAGTGTGCAACCATGTGGTAAAAAAAGCTTGGGTATTTTAAAATTATATACTTTTCTACCTTGTAGTTTTTAAGCAGGAGAAGCATAAAGTCACCCAAAGTGATTTTGATCTTATTTAAAATGAAATGATCGGACCACAGTGGGTAGTTATTTTAATTTTATTAGCAAAACATCCTCGTGGTATAATAAGACAAATACTTCCAAAGTATATTTGCATGGTGATAAACTTGCCAGGTCGTAACAACACTGTGTTTTTCCTCCTCCCTCCTCTTTCTAGCTGAGCCATTATCTGGACATTGTGGAAGTCAATATTGCTCACCAGATTTCTCTGCGCTCTGAAGCGTTTTTTCATGCAATGACCTCTCAGCATGAGTTGCAGGACTACCTCAGGAAAACCTCCCAGGCTGTAAAATTACTTAGAGAGAAAATCTCTAAAATTGATAAAGTAATGTGTGAAGGATCGCTTCGAGTTTTAAGACTGTCACTCACCAGAAATAACTGTATAAAAGCATACAATAAACTGAAATTAATGGCTACTGTACACCAAACACAGCCCACAGTACAGTTGCTGCTATCCACTTCTGAGTTTGTTGGAGCTTTGGACTTAATAGCCACCACACAGGAGGTGTTACAGCAAGAGCTTCAAGGCATTCACAGTTTCCGGTAGGTAACCGTTTAGGAAATGAATAAAATGCGCATTAGAGCTAGAATGTGTTGAGCACATTTTGTTGTCTGAAGGGGTTTGTTTTACCTCTGTTTGCTCATTCTTAGAGGATGTAGTACAAAAGGTACAAAATGTAAGTGCATAAGCGGTGTGACTAATATATGTGGCAGAGATAATTTTTTTAGGGCAGAATGACCTTTTAACATCTAGATGCCTTGTACACCATTCTTGTTTACAGGTGATTTAGGGGTGCAGAGTGAGAGCCAAGCAGTGGCTGGACCTTCGTCTTGCAGGGCTTGTAGCCTACAGCTGAGAGATGTTTTCCAAGTGGTGGTTTGCAGTCCTTGTGCATGTATCACCCCAGAGATACAGTTCTTGCTACACAGTTCCACTCCATGTCCGTATCTTTATTGATTGATCTAGGCTTATGGTGTTACAGGAATATGTACAGGCCATGTGTCAAATAGGGCAGCATCCAGCCGGTGCTTGTGCTGGAAGCAGCTTTGCAAGCAAAAGCCACTGCAAAGCTATGAAACCATAGCTCAAAATGTGGTCCGAGGTTGACAACTGGTCAGATGGGGTGGGTTCAGCCATGTGTGCTCTTGTGGACAGCTGTATTTACAGTGGCCAGGGGGTGCTTCCTCTTGATCCATCTGAATGAGAAATCCAGTTCTGTCAGTGGCTGAAGTTGGGAAGGGAAGAAATAGTGGGAAGATGCTGCCCAAGCTGCTGTTTCAACTGTTTTTTTCAGCTGTGTTTGCTACAGTGATGGGAATTAGTGAGTCTGAGGTCCTGTGCTGGCTGCTTCTGTTAACACTGGACGCGTAGAGGTCCATTTGGGAGATGCTGCTGCACGGGGCAAGGTTCTCTGTGATATGCAAGAGTATTAATACAGTAGAGTCATTTTAGCTGATGTAAAATAAGCTATCATAAGTCATACACGGTTTAAAAGTGTTGTATGCAAAGCTGCCACTGTGGTATGATGCTAGTAGAAGTAGCGTAGCGTACGTTAAATCAGTTCTGAGACTTGTGTCAGCCAGTTTTTATGGGTTGATGCTGGAGTGAGGGGCTTGTTTTGTTTAGAGGTTATTTGTTTCCTGCAACCTGGTGGTTTCCAGTTTGCATAATAAAAGCATGGTTGTTGCTCAATAACTGTGACATGAATGTTCAGACTCTTGTCCCTCTGTTCTGATGAGCTGCTCTTCTAACACCCCTTCTAACTGATTTGGAAAAAGACTCAAATTTTATATAGAAAAGATCTCAGAAAAAGTCTTTAAAATATTTTAAAAATTAAATCTAAAAAAAAAAAAAAAGAGCTAATAAACTATTGGGAGGAGAGTTGTTAGAAGCTGTTAGTGTTTTTCTTTTAGCTTAGATGGTCCATCTTCAGGCACCTCAACACAGTTTCTTTCCTCTTTTTACTGTACCTGCTCTCAACCACTTGATTACTGTGCACAGCCCTTGAGTGAGACACCTTCGTATTTACATTCATGATAGTGCATGTACTTCTACAACACTGTGACAACATCATTAAAATTAATTGTGTTTTGCAAGCAAGTAACCTGCTCGCTCCCTCAGCAGAGTGCAATTCTGTTGTCATTGTGGCTGGTATACATGATGTCCCAAGAATGTGTCACTGTTTTAAAATTACACTCAGATGTGGAACATATTTGCAGGTGAATATTCATCTTGGCTTTAAAAAGTAGTTTCTGTGATTAATGCTTAGCTGGTTGCTTTGGTAGAGTTAAAAGTAGTGATGTGAGTGGGAAATGTCCCTTGTGCTTTGGATATTAAAAGTTGAGGAAAGTGATTTAAATGCAACCTAAGTCATCACCCCTACCAGAGATTCACATGCAGCTGAGAATCCCAGCACAGTTGTTCCCAAGTCTCACAGTGGCCTGTGTGTCTAGCATGTCTGGAGAAAGAGTGTGCAGTGGAAAGATGGAAATCTTGATAAAACTTCTCAGTAGAATGTTGTGTTTCTAAAAACATATAAAATTGTAAAAAACTTGAATTGGTGGCCTACGCAGATACTTAAGCTTTTTCCAAAAAACACCAAATGGATGTTCTTGCTTTTTTCTGAGCAAGATGCTGCAGTTGTCAAGTGAGTTAAATACCTGATTTGTTTTAGGAAGAGATTAACTTCTGAATCGGTATCTCATTTTTCTGAATATTTAGTACCTCTTTTTTTCTCCTAAATAATTTGTATCTTATTTAAAAAAAAAAATAATCTTGCTTTAGTGTTGTGCATGGCAGCTTGTAGAATTTGCTTTTGAACAGACGGCTTTAAATTGAATCATGTCGCAGAATGTTTAAATTGAATCATGTCGCAGAATGTAAAGCAGTAAGAAAACTATTCAGATCATCCATATATAAAATTTTTTATCTTCTTGTCATGCTACATGCAGAAGAAAACATAATTTTAATCTAGTTATAGCAAAAAAATGAATGTTTGGTGATGCTGTGAATTAATAAATTGGCATCTTCAATCTCGGTTAATAGCCCCAGGGATTATATGTATCAGTTGTAACTGTGTGATTATTGCATACCAGTACTATAGGATAGAATTAGAGCTCTTTAGAGCTCTTTAACCTTTTTCAAGTTCATCTTTTTAATTTTACAAAGAAACCTCAACTTAACGTGTTAAACTAAACTACAGATCTATACTGCCAATTTTTACACTGTTTTCACAGTCCTTTTGGGGTGATAGGGAGATACAGTTATTTTTTTGCACAGGTATGCTGGCAAACCACACTTGTATACTTTTATAAAACACAGATACTTGGAAAAATAGTTCTCATTTGTGTATTTTAAAAGACCTTTTACCCTGTGCTCATAATTTTACATCAGAGAGTTGTAGTATTCAGTCAGTGGAAGGACCTAATGTGTGACTGGCACCTCTTAAGACATAATTGCCAAGACATTTTGCTGGAGTATGAATTAAGGTTTGACTAGTTCCTACCTATTTCAGGGTGGAGGGATTATTTTTATGTTGGTAGGGGCTGGAACATCTCAGGTGAAGTGGTGGCAGCAAGTGCTGTGAACTCTTGTTGGATGTCTCTGTACCTGAGGTTTGAGAGGGTAGGTTACATTGTGTTTCAGTATAGTTAAGCACAGTAATAGAAATAATTTTCCAAAGAGCATCTTTGTGCTTAGCTAAGTAAGAGCCTTTGTGTTGCGGATATTAGTCCTGCAGTAAGTTTTGCAACTCCAGTCATTACGTTGCAAATAATAATCTTTATTTTTTTCTGTTGGGTTGTTTTGAAATGTCCATGGTACAAATGGCTTGGATTTTCTAGAGACCATTTTTGCTTAAATTAGATATTTGAAATGTGCCCAGTTTGTCCATTCCAGCCAATTCCTGACCAACAATTTCAAAAGCAGGCAAGTCCCTAGTCATTTTAAAACTAAAAACCAGTTAATCTGCTTAACTCGAATCCAGCAAGATTCATTCAGTTCAGCTCCGTGCTGGCTATGTGGGCTTCTGCAGGGAGGAGTCACCCTGGCATTGTGCTTCCTCACACCCTGGTGCCGACTTTGCCCTACACGGGCTGTGAGGCCAGATCCTGTGGGCTTTGTGTTGGTACAGCAGTGCTCCTGCCAGGGAGTCCTAAGACATTTTTGCCTCTCTATGCAAGCTAACAGTACAGCTACACCAGCACTGAATTAAAGCCGGTTAGCTGTGCAGGTTCACAACTCCCCATCTTGTATCCAGGTTTATCTAAAATATCACAGCTCCTATGAATTCTCATTGACAAAGTGTCTTTTTTTTTTTTTTAAAGAAAAAACAGTCTGATTTTACAGATACTTGGTGCTCACAGCTATTGGTGGAAGTTGGAGAGCCTGGAGTGTTTGGCATCTCTGAAATTTCCACTTTACTTTTACTCTGCTGAAAGTTTCTCTAGTTGCACAACTTTTGACCGGTCGACATTCCTGATGTGAGAAATTCCCTTGTGGTTCTTTATGACAACAGTCTGCAAAATATGGTTCAAAATCTGCAATATGTGAAAAAAATATTTTAAACTTAGAGTAGTATAAAAATGGCAAATCTGAAAACTCTTCTTTGTTCTCTGAAAGTCATCCTGTCACGTAAAGCTGTTACTGTATCTCAGTGAATTAAATCTGTGTCCACGTTAAAAGCTCAGAGTTTTGAAATGTAGAGAACTTGCGGACTGATGAGCTGAGGAACTGGATAAGTGAAAGAAGTATTCCTCATTTTAACACCTTTATACTGACAGGCACTGAGTATTCTCAGTTCTGGTTCACTTCACTGGGAAGAGAGGTACTCAGCACCTTCTCCCCCTCCCCCCCCC